CTGTGGATGTGCGCTTTTCATAATTCCTAACATAACACTGTAACTTAATATCCCACTTATTTATGAATAAGACAGATCTGATAAGATACACAGGCCAGGAGTGCTGTTAAGGTCAATTCTTGGTACACAAAGTTCTCCTTGCCACGCTCCAGCGAAATGACCAGTCATTATTCTCCAACCTTTACACAAAAAGCTGGTGAAACACAGTGTGAAAGACTTATTTGAATTTATAGACAGAATTAAGGATACTAACATCATAAATAAAAAAATGTCACTGGATATATCTTCTCTATACACCAATATTCCTTTTCTTGAGACAATCAGCTACATAGGTGAACAGTTGGAAGATAAGTCTATCAGTGGTTGGAGTACCACTAAATGTCCTCAAAGAATTATTATTCAAATGTAATATCGTTGTTAACTTCAAATTCAACGGTGAACTATGCAGACAATAGGATGGAGTCACAATGGGCTGGCCACTGGGTTTCATATTAGAGAACCTTTTTCTATCTAAACTAGAGGATGGTTTAGTTGGACGATCTATCTCAGAATTTTCGTTTTACTGTCGATATATGGATGATATATTCATCCTGCCCAAACACAACATGGACAGGTCAATGATACTTAGCAGGCCTAAGGTAGTACACCCAGAGATAAAGGTTACATGTGAGGAAGAGTCACAAGGCAAGATAGCTTTTCTCCACGTTCTTCGGTCAAGACGAAAAGACGGATTGATAAGGAGGAGTTTTTCTAAGAAAATTGGCGGAATGGGCAATACACAGGTTTTCTCAGCGTCGTTCCCCTTTAGTATAAAATGAAATTTGGTAAGAACTTCCAGCAACACAATAAAGGCTGTATGTTTGGAAGATACAGGTAAGGAGGAACTGGAGACTTTGCGCAACACACTAATCGAAAATGGCTATCCTGATAGATTCATAAAGAAATATATAATTACAAAAATGGCAATAAAGGATGTTCCTATGGCTTACGAAAAACTGCTATGTATTCCGATACAATTTAAAGGCGACCTACTCAACGAAATATTAATTCGCAAACTACGCAGGTTAATGCAGAGGACTTTTAGTGCTGGTAAACTACAAATTTTGTCTCCCACACTCCCAATGCTGACACCAAGACTGAAAGATTAATTGCTTAGACTGGCCACTTTCTGTTGCTTTCTAGTTCCACTGCCCCCATACAGCCTGTTACGTCGGTAGCTGCTCTACGAATTTCATTTTACGCGCTGGTGAACATCTTCCAGCGTAGTTAACTAGTTCAGTAGTTACTAGCCGGTCCCAAGCCCAGGTAAAGAGGGAAGGTCGTGCGTAGGGCTAGCAACCCCACCCCATAAAACAAATCCAACCGCCACAGAAATTTCAAAGCACAAACAAAATACAAAAAATAAAAACAAAATTATTTCTCGCCGGAATCGGAGAGGCGGAAGGATGCCGGTTGGTGAAAGCCTTCGGGAAGCCAATTCTGCGGGCCGATGTTTCTTCTCTCTCTCGATGAAAACGAAAGTAAACGTGGATACATGGAATGTCAGCACCATGTTTGAGGCTAGCCAGCAAGGCTGTCCAGATTACAAACGAGATGAAAGGTGTAGTACTGAAGTGCTAGGAATCTGCGAAAGCAGATGGAATGGGAGTGGACTTTCCAAACTGTCAACTGGAGAATCAACAATCTACTCCAATTTTGTCACCCAGACGACAACCACGAGCACACTGAGTTTTGGAGTGGTTATCACGATGTCCCCTCCCAAGAACATTCAAGGTTCTCATGCAATGGGAACCAATCTCCTCTTGCAGGATCACAACAGCAAGGTTCAACTCGGAAGGAAGGAAAGTCACAACCGTACAATGCTACTCACCTACAAATAATGCAGAGCAAGACAAAAAGGAGGAATTCTACAGACAACTTTAATCAACACTGGACAAGACCACAACTCAGTTGGCGATATCAAAATTCTAATGGGCGATATGAATGCCAAACTGGGAGGGGACAACACAGGAAGAGAACTAACCATGGGTCTGGAAGCGCTCGGTGAGGTGATGAACAAGAATGGAGAATTGTTTGCAGAATTCTGTGCATTCAACGGCTTGGTGATTGGAGGTGAGGCAGTGTGTTCAAGCACAAGGATATCCACAAAGCGAGCGACATGGATTTGATCTCACCAGATGGACAGGCTAAAAATCAGATCGACTCCATCTCAATGTGAGGAAAGTGGAGTCATAGCCTACTTGACTCAAGGTCAAGAAGAGGAGCAGATGTAGGCTCACTCCACCCACTATCTACCGCAATGAACCTTCGAAGTTGGTGATAGACCACAGTTCAAGTTCAACACTCACAACAGAAACTGGACTGAAGGATGAAACTACAAAGGAAATCTTCACGGCAGCCATCAAGACAAAATGGGAGATATCGAGCAACATCCTTTAAGAAACCTGTGTGGATGAGCACTGGAACTCTCCGAAAGCTATGTGGAAAGAAACCTGCATAATCGTATTAGAAAGCAAGAAGAAAGAAGGTAAGGAATGGATGTTGACGGACACATGGAAGCTGATAGAACAGGGAGAGGAGGATGGTGAAGGAGAAGATAAACCAATGCAAGGATACACAACGAGAAGAGGAACTGAGCACAATGTATAAAACACCACACTGGACAAAGAAGTGAAGAAGAGTGCGTGGAAAGACAAAAGACACTTCTACAACACACTGGCAAGTGAAGCAGAACAGGCTACAGGCTGGTAGGAGAGACCTGACAACATTGCATCAAATAACCAGGTTACTATCTGGGAGGAAAGAGATCAACACAGCACAGATGAAAACAATAAAAGATGATGAGGGAAATCTAATTAACGCCAAAGAAGAAAAACAAAGGAAACAGTAGGCTGACCACCTCAAGAAGCTCTTGAATCGACCAGTATTACCACCTGCACTTCGTCCAGAAATACCACCTACAGCCCAGCCGCTGAAATGCAAGTGAACATAAATCCTCCAACAAAAGTGAAAGTCCTGAGCACCATAAAGCTACTGAAATGTGAGAAAGCAGCAGGACCAGATGGAATCTCACCAGAAGTACTGAGAGCAGACGCAGGCAACAGACAACAGCGGACATGCTCACACCACACCACTATTGCAGAAGGCGTGGAAGGGAGGGAAGCTACCTGCCGACTGACTGGAACAAGGGTTACCTTGTCGAACCCAGAGAAGGGCGACCTAAGTCTTTGCAAGAACTGGTGTGGATTCATGCTGCTTTCCACCCGAAGCAAGCAAAACATTAAGCCGCATACTCCTGGAGAGACTAGAGTATGCACTGGATTCAAAACTACCACCGGAACAGGCTGGCTGACTGCCTTCAGGAAGTACAAATCATGTGAGGACCAAATTGCAATGATTCACATCATCATCGAACAAAGTACAGAATGGCAGTCAACTGTACCTGTGCCTCAACTTCATCGACTTTGAGAAGGCCTTTCACAGCGTCGACCGAGAGGTAATTTGGCAGCTGCTTCAACACTACGGAATACCACAAACATTTATCAATCTCATTCAACAGCCAGATATATGAAGACGCCACATGCCAAGTAATTCACACTGGGAAGCTCAGTGATGCCTTCGAAGTGAAGACAGGCTGACGGGTAAGACAAGTCTGTCTACTATCACACATGATATTCCTGATTGTGTTGTGGACTGACTGGATCATGCAGCAAACAGTTGGCAGCGAGAAGAGGGGGATACACTGGCCAGACAGCGGAAATGATCCTAGATGATTTGGATTTCGCCAACGATGACTTGTGTCTAATCTCACACAAACTTGAAGATCTACAGGCGAAAACTAACAAGTTGACAGAAGAGGCGAGGCAGCGAAGACGGGACTTCAAGTGAATGTAGAGAAGGCAGATGATGAAGATACCCAACCAACACCACCACCACCACCAACAACAACAACAAGCTCCAATCACCATCAACGGGAGAAACTTAAAGGAAGTAGCCTCCTTCACCGACCTGCCTAGGCAGCACTGTTTCAACTACAGGCGGCACAGGCACAGGCACAGACGAGGATGCCAAAACCAGCCAGGATCGGAAAGACAGCAAGACAGGTGTTCATTAGTCTGAAACCAGTGTGGAGATCTTCTGCACTCACCACAAAGAGTGAACAAGATCCGGATTTTCAACACCAACGTTAAGTTAGTCCTGCTATATGGTTCAGAAATTTGGCGCGTCACGAAAGGGATCTCCAACAAACTACAGACATTCATCAACAGCTGCCTACGCTGGCTCGTTACTGAAGATCAGATGGCCAGAATAATAAGAATAAGCAACAAGGAACTCTGGCTGGCTGGCTGGCAACGAACCAACAAAGCATGAACCTATCGCTCAACAAATATGCAGAAGGAAGTGGAGGTGGATTGGGCATGCACTGAGAAGACCATCCGGTGACTCCACGAGCCAGGCCCTCGAGTGGAACCCGGATGGGAAGCGACGAGTTGGGCTTCCCAGCTGAGGATGACATGGAGGAGATCGTGTGAGGAAGAAATGAGAGCCTCTGGGCTGTTGTGGAGCCAGGTTCAGAAGATTACAGAGAAAAGAATGCACTGGAGACGTGCTAGTGAAGCCCTATGTTTCATCAGGAACCCAAGGGAGAAATAATAATAATGATTGTCTATATCCTTTCAGGTTTATCGGAATCGAGATAATTATGAGCATTCCAAACCCAGAACGTTTTCCAGTAAGACAGACGTAGAACCCAAGGAACCACCTTTCACTAATTTTTCAACACGAAGTTTGAAGTATATCCCCACATTAACAAAAATGGCAGACCCAGCTTTAAAATTAGCTGTTAGCAGAAAATTGTCAGAAATTATGAGCATGTATGAAAATTAGCGTATATATACTAAAATATGTCGAGTGTACTAACGGGTCCATGTGTGAACTTACCGCCAAACACCAATATCCTAAATTCCGTGTGTTATCCACCAATGGGGTTTCAGCGTAATGACCTTCAAGTGCGCAGGCACTCCAAGGTCTGTATTCATTCCTAATCTATGCCATATGTCGAACATTTCGGATGACTACCAAGTTGGTAGTATTTTTTGGGCCAAAGTTGGCTCGCACCCTTGGTGGCCATGCATGATTTATTATTCACCTGATGGAGATTCTTACGTTAGAGAAAAAGGTTTGGTTCATTTTGGTGATTTATGATTCATAAATACTCAGGTCGCACATTTGCATATCACGTTCAGTTTCTGGGACCCTTAGTTGAAAGAGCTTGGGTGTTCGCCAACAATCTAATTCCATTCGAAGGAAAGAAAAAGTTTGATGAATATGTTCAGGAAAAGCTGCAAACATGTAAAGACAAATCTGTAAGTCTGGACATTCTTGCGTATATTCCTCTCTTAGGAAAGAGTTAAATATGAAAGCAAGTCAGTGGAAAGCAGTCGAAAAATATGGATACAGTCTTGGAAAGAAGCTGAAATAGCAATGAACCTGACACCAGACGAAAGGATTGACAAGTTTGGTCGAATTTCCGTCAAACAGATGTCACGAAGATTCGATAAAACTGAAGAGGGTAATCCATATTTTAATAGCCTCATCTTTTCAGGAGAGCTTATTGAACTGATGAGTAATGTTCCACTGACCATAGAGGAAGAAGCTGAGTCACTAGCTACCTTCCTGAAGGATGAGATAGATGTTCGTATGACGATGAACCCGGAACTGGATAGAAAGTGTCTTGAGGATGAATTACGAACACAGTGGCCTTCACTCGATATAGCTACAAAACGCAAGTATCTGCATGATCAGCTTAGCATATTTGATGATCCTTTGCAGGTGAGTTTGTAAATTCACACATCCACTCTTCTGCACTGAGTTGTGTATCTCTATTACCAACGGTTTATGTCTTCTTTACGCCATTGCTTGTTTATTTTTCCCTTTTGTAATCTATTAGGACGACAAAGACTTGGCTAATGTCACTTTTATGACCTAGAATATTAGTTTTTATCTCAGATAATCAACTCTTGGAACCCACGATTGGAAAAGTGGCTTCCACGTTATCAGTTTACTGGTTTGCAAGAAAACTGGCGAGAGAGGGAAAATCCATTTAATATAGATCAACAGTGGGTTGTAGCCTTCTTTCCCAAAATCTTCAATTCTGAAATCTGATTTCAGTGGTTAGAATGGTAGCTCAACCTACTTGTATAAGCGTATCTGTTAAATAGTTTCCCGGAATAGTCGATTTTATACATGAGTGTATATTCCTGTCCGAAATTTTACAACCAAGATACAGTCCCACCATGAATCTAACCAGCTGTACTTTTTGAACCAACCTGTTGTCACATGCATTTCCCCTTTATCTATTTCACTACCTTGTTACATGAGGTGCTGCAACACGGACCGTTAGGCAGTAATGCGGGGTCCACTGTTAATCTTGATGATTATGATGGTGTGCGGCTATTAAATTAACCTCACCTGGCCTTAGTAGTGAATCCTCAAAATTCACTTTAGGAGCACCCGAGACTAGAAGGCTAGCCTTCGTAAACTCTTTGGGGCTGTCGTAGCATTCACTTGTAGAGAGAAAAGTGCCCTTCTCTACCGGATGCCAGTAAACAGCCATTTATGTTCTATTCGACAGAATCGATCTGTAAGAACTAGGTAGGATCGTAAGACCAACCGATCCCTATTCCTAATCGCACGCACGGACTGTGGTTCGGCTGATGCATCATCATAAATATCAACATAGGACCAGGCATTATTGCGTAACGGTCCGAGTTGCCACAGCTCATATCAGTACATCAAGTAAAAAGGCGGTGAAGTACAAGATGATGACAAGGTCCAGTCTAAAGAAATATAAAGTACGGAAAAGGAGAGGGAAAATGAGAAAATGGAGAGATTCGGTAAAGCATCCTTAAGATGACAAAGTGTGTATACATCTACGCCACTGACATCGGTTCTGAGCCGTATCACGTAGAGTCTCCAACCACTGGTTCCTCTTGTCCGGCGGACCCCAACCAGCTAGTTTGTATCACCCCTCATGACTCAAACCAACAGTCAGAGACTTCATACATTTTTGCCATGTTTTAGTCTGGCCACCTCAGGCCTTTTTCTAGCCTGGACCTACTTCAGCCAACATTGTGTGACGACGCAATCGACGACTAGGCATACGTAACAAGTGTCCCAACCATCTCAGCCGATGAAGGTTCATAACCTTGTCAACTGATTTACCTCTTCTCCCTAGAACACTACACCTAACTTCTGCATTACTCCCGTGGTGACACCACAGAATACGGCTTACACTACGAAGGCAATGGTGGTCAAACACTTGAAGCCTTCTCATGTCTTCCACCTTCAGTGTCCATGTTTCACAGCCATACAGTAGAACAGACCAGACTGCTGTGCAGTACACGCGACCCTTAATAGATAATCGCGGCGCCAGCGGTGGCGTAAGTTGGTGAAGACCAGCCGAGCCTTTTGTATTTGTGCAGAGATTTCACCGACCACTGAGTCACCAAAGCAGGTCTGATCCTACTTCCTACACACTCAACCACTACACTCTATTGTAAGCCAAGGCACCGTTCAAAACACATGCTGTAGCAGCGATTTGCATTTGGTTGGTGAGAAATGCATCCCAAACATTCTCAAATTCCCACTCAGTGTTCAGAAGACTGCATCTTGTCAGCGTCTTCACCTAACGGGACTATATCGTCTGCATATTCTAGATCTAACGAAAATTTTCCTGCCATTAGGTCAACCTCTGTGTAGTCAACTGACAGGAGGGAGACCTCCATGAGAATATCTATGATGAAATTGAATGAGAGTGGAGAGAGTGGGCACCCTTGACGGATACCACTCGATGAGCATATCTCCCTGGACATCTCACCATAGGCTGTAACACGTCCACAAGTGTTCGAGTAGACAGCCTTTAATAAGGTGATATATTTACTCGGTACGCCTTTCAGTGAGAGACATTCCCATAAGACTCCTCGATCAACGAAGTCGAATGCCGCCTTCAGGTCGAGAAATACAGTCAGTGTCGGGCGTCGGCAAACGTGCCTGTGTTCCAAAGCCTGGCGCAGTGTAAATGTCTGGTCGATAGACCCGCGACGGGTCTCAAGCCTGCCTAGTTTTCTCGAGCCTGCCGTTCCCCAGCTCCACTCAGTCGTCGAAGAATTGTAGAACCTAAAATCTGAGGCACTATGTTCGTCAGGCTGATTCCTCTGTGGTTATCACAAGAGGACTTCTCGTCTTTCTTGAAGACTGGAATAATCAGTGATTTAGACCAGTCAGGGAGGATGGTATTTGATTCCCATATACTGATTAACACTTTCGTTAACCTAACTAAGAGCATCTTACCACCATCCTTGTATACCTTTGGAGTTAGTCTGCGTGATCCTGCCTCCCTTCCTCGTTTCAGGTTACCTACCGCTTTCTCAACTTCTAGTGTCGGGGGGCCTGTCTTATTGTTCGATTCAGGATCTGACTGGATAGTGGGCAACGCAGTGGTGGCTGAAGGCCAGTTAAACTGCGACTCGACATGTTCTGTCCATCGTTCCAGTCGTCTCCCCTAAGAGTGAATCTCAGATCCATCCTTCTCCGCTATAGTCTCACTAACCGTTGTTGACCTTTCCCCATCAGTTTCCTTAATAAGCCGAATTAACTATCTACTGTTATCAATCGCCGCTGCCTTCTCTATCTCTTCAACCTTCGCTGCCCACCACTGTTTGCGGTCGTTGCGTAGTCTTTTTCTCAATCTACTTTTAAGTTGCGCTCGCTCTTCATTATACTCAGAGCCTGCAGGGATGCGTTCATGTGCATCCATTAGTTCTGAAGAAGTTGCTGATATCCACTGGCTTTTTTAGCCCCTATTTCGGAGTTGGCTAAAGTCTTCAGCGCAGCTTTTACGACAGACTGGAGATGGCACCAAGCTTCTTCTGGATGAATGATAGTCTTTTGTTCCGATAACTGCCTAGCCAATTTCTCACTGAACACGGCTTTGGAGTTTTCGTTGTTCAGCATTACACGTGGTGGTTTCGTTGCCAAATTTTTCTTACGTCCATTGAGACGCAGACATATATGCGCTCGGAGCAACGCATGTTCGCTACCCGCTACACTTACTCCAGAAGGAGCGGCAGTCTTCCACCGATCCTCTCCAGCGATGACTAATAGTTGGTCTATCTGTGTCCATTGCAGAGTTGAGCTCTGTGAACGCCACATCAGACAGTGTCTTTCTTTGTGTCTGAAATTTGTGCTAGCTAAAAATAGGTGGTTATCTGAGCACAGTTGTAGAAGGTGATCACTGTTACCTGTTCATTCAGCCGGGACTCCGAAAGTGCCACCTAAGTGCCTTTCTGCCTCACTCAGTCTACCCACCTGTGCATTGAAATCACCTGCAACAACCACCACGTCTGAACGTTTGGCTTTCGAGAGGAGGCTAGACAGTCTTCGGTAGAACTCGTCCTTCACTTCATCTGAACTGCAGTCAATGGGTGCGTAAGCAGAGATTACAAAGAGACAACGGTGAGTTTCACTATTCCTTTTAGTTCTCATTGTGCGTTCAGCCTCATAGCTCAGAGACAACTATCAACTAGGATCCAGATTAGTAGTGTTTTCTGTCCAAGTGCTTAATGCTATGCCTACACCTGCAAGACCGTGATTACTAGCCATCGAATTTCCAGAAACTAGGAGGGTGAATTTTGCGGATTCACCAGATTGGTCGAGAGAGGTCAGGTGAATAACCGCACTTGGATCCTGTATGTGTGTCTGAAAAGCACAGTACACATCCATGGTCCGAGTTGCTGGAGTCTTTGCCAACGAAGCCTGTTGACCAATTTGACGGAGGGTGCGGACATTGAAGACCCCGATGTGCGATTTGGAGCGTAGTTTAAGGAGACCAAGGATGCTGTTCTGTGGACTCAGATCGTTGTCGAAGGCTGCAGAGGTAGGAGAAATTGAAGATGATGTGGTATCGTTAGTTGAGAGACGTGAATGAAGATTAGAAGGTTATGATGGAGGAGGTGGATAGCATTCTGAGGAAACTTGAGTGCTGACAGAGTTGTGAGGGTGATTGATACTTCCGGGCTGCCCACACTGTGGAAGGTTATTTCTTCGTAAGGTACCTGAAAGAGATTTGTGGGACGGCAGAACCCATCAGACATCTGCTTGAGGCTTGTCACACTCAGCCTTATGAGTATGACTATTTTGATTTTTTGTTTTGGAGCCGGATGGTCGAAAAGAAACGAAAAATGAACCAGCACCCTCAGCCCAGGAGACTGTGGTATATAGTGGAGTGTGTTATTTTGGGGGCCAACCTTTTCCAACCCCCCGCCTTCCATTAAGAAGGAAGCATCAGCATGGCACTGCTGGTCATCCAAGGGAAACACCTAACTGCTGTCACACCCCATCCAGCTAGCAGCAGTACGACTTCACCCTCAGACCCCCATCATAGTGTAGTAATTTACAGTACAACGCTAACTGCTTTTCATCTAACCACTATCCAACAGACCTTTCTGGTATGGTAGGACCTCGATGGAAGAAGTGTTGCACCAGCATAGCTCGTTGGGTCATTGTAATTTGCAAGCCTGACCGCCACGTCAAGGTATCAGCTGTCGGTCGAAATGTGGTTATCTAGTCATTAGTGTTCAGCACTGATAGTAGTCAATCGATCAGGTAACAGATTCCTTATGCAAATACCAAACCAGATGAAAACTTCACAAAAATACGATCGTTTGCGCATGTCGAAAACCACTTTCAGATAACGCATGTTGCCATGTGCGTTTATGAATACATATCAATACGCACATCTGTAAGGCTGTGGATGTGCGCTTTTCATAATT